AATCTATAGTGAAAGCAAGCTGTTCCTTGGCTAGGCTGGCAGAACAATCACACAGGAGCTCTAGCTATGATTGCAAGTGACAGGCAGGGAGAGAGAGAAAAACCCAATCCTACTTTCTCGGCAGCAGTAGTCCTGACATGTCATGCCAAACTCTCTTCACTGTCTTGTTTTCTTTCCAGGTCGCTGAACAACTCATTAATCCGTTTGGAGAAGATGATGATGATTTTGAAACTAACTGGTGCATCGATAGAAATTTACAGGTTGCTGTTGTTATTTCTACTTCTAGCTTTACTCTACCATAGGTTATCATTACATCTAATGCCATGTCTTAAACTGAGGAATAAATCAGGGCAACAAGTGCTAGCAAAACATACTCTTTCCCTGAAGGATCACCTGTGACTGTGATACACAGAGTTGGTTTTCACAACCTAATTCATTGTGATTTTGGTATTTGGCCTTTACAATGCCTGACTAAACATGCAAACAGCTGACCTTAAATTATAAAACCACTCTATGCCTGGAAAAACATGTAATGTAGGTCAATCCTGCAAAATCCAAAATTCATTCCCACATAGATAAGAACAAATTTTGGTAATCTGAATGTCTCGTGATTAAAATATTGTATATGAACCTTCCTTTAAAGAGAAAGGCAGCAAAAATAGTAAAAACACTAAGCAGGGCCCTGAACTAATAAGCAGGGCCAGCAGCATGACTCATGCTGGGATGCTGTCACCCACAGCAGTATCTGTGGACAGCACAGGAGCCAGTGTCCCCAGTCACAGGGGCTGTGAGATGACAAGGGTACAGTTTTACCCCTGATTCCCAAAGAGCCCTGGCTGTTTTGCTGTCAAGGAGCTCAGAGACATGAGGAGGTCTCACAGCACCTTGCTGCTCCCCCTGCACAGAGCCAAGCACAGGGCTGGCTGAGCTGCTGTCGGACTCCAGGAAACCACATCGCAGAGTTAGGGGGAGCAAGGGCCACATAAACCACCAAACTAAGCAAAGCAACCAGAGTAAGCCACGCAGGTATGTGCAAGAATGGGAAAGGACTTCACATGGACAAAGATGCTCTCTGGCTTAGCACCAGGTCAGGATACTCATGCTAATGTGCCTTAGAGCCTGTTGTGTAAAATTGATTAGAAGGGTGTTCACATACTTGATTTGGAATGTCTTAAAATGGCAATGAAGCCTATCAGAAAGATTCTTGACCTCTGGACACTCCTAGGAGCACATGTGTAATACTTTACACAGATTTTCCATAGCACATAAGGATCCCATCTAACTCATTATACATGTGGGAAGGACTTCAATCTGGCACAAATATCTTTGCAGTCCAGAAAATTCAAGTTATGTGAACACCCTTCTAATCAATTTATTCTCTCAGAAGTATAGGCAGATATAGGGGGTTTATTTTGTAGTACTGAGTCTCTTCTAATGCCCAGGCCATCATACACAGCTTATGTTAAAGGGTTTCTGAAAGAAATGACCCAGGGAGTATAAAGTAGACTATTTCATATACTCCACTATGTTGAAAGTGATATGATTTATGCAAAAAAAATTTAAGGTTTCACTTCTGGCTGTGGATGAGATGCACATGAACTTGCCAAGGATGGAGAAAGATATTTACTGGAATGATACCTCTGCCCGCCCACCCTACACAAAAGCAGCTGCTGATTACTGTATTCCTTCATTTCTTGGATCAACTATTGAAATGGGGTGAGTGGCACTAAGGGTCCTTAATGCCATCAGAAAGGGCACCATCCCCACAGTCTGCATCGGCTGGCACACAGCCAGTGCAGGGATGTGGGCTCTGATGATACTCCAGCAGAGAAGGTGGAAATGAGAAAAGAAATTAGGAGGGAGTGGACAGGCCGGTGATGGTGGGAGGGTGTCTCCAGTGGTCCATGTGTTCATCCAAGCTGTGCATACATATCTTAAATTGTATAATCAATAAATAGAGCATATTTGCAGGGAGGGTTTGTTGATAGTCTCTGAACACATATGTTGATAGTCTCTGAGCACAGGATGATACCTGAAGACAGTGACTGACTTATCTTAATGATACTTGCTTTGCTACTGCTTCTTCATGCATACCCAATTAGCAAAGCAGCTATTCCTTTGCTCATTTAGTTAGCAGATGACACTTGAAATCAGTCCAGATTTTTGTGAAGATCAACAACAAATAATCTTAAATGTTTTATGACTTTTTATTGACTAATAATCCTGGCATGGAAGTTGAAATGGCCAGATTTTGTGAAGGTATTTATTTGCAGAGATCAGCAAAGAACAATGGTTACAAAGAATAGAGGGTACGGGATTGCCCCCTGTTGTCAGGATCTACATGAGGAGTCTGTGACAGGCCAGTTAGCTTAGAAGCTGTTAGTTTAAATACTTGTGACATGCTGTAATACAGACAGATCAATAAGCGTAAATACCATCCTGACTGACAAAATACCAGGCAAGAAGATGTTCTCATCTGAAAACCTTTTTAAAAACTTTACAGCAGACATTTTTTAACTTTAAAAAATATCTCAAGATATTTATAATTTTCCCATCGTTTCCCACCTTTATAAAAATAAAATGTCTTTAATTTTTTGTTTAATTTGGCTTTAAAATTGTGGTTTACTCTTTTTTTTCTTTTTTTTTTTATTTTTTCATTTTTGCATGCATTCTACTACAAAGGACAATGGTTTTATCACACACAGCCTTTTCAGAGGTTATTTCTTTCTGGAAAAAATATAAAATGGCAAAAAGAAAAGTAAAGAAGGAAATAAAAAACTAAAGAAGAAAAATTCATAGAATATAATTTATTTTAAGGTAATTTCTAGGGGGAACAGGTGGCAAAGAAGAAACATCATTAAGTCTGCAAACAATTTTTTAATAAAAAAGTACTTCACACAAAAAACTTAAGGAAGGAGAAAATGAGAAATAGCTCCTGATAGCTCCTGTGGAATGCAAACAGCTCTGATGTGTTGACTTTGTATTAATTATCTTCTCATGTGAACCATTTCTTTGTTCATATTTCTAAAAATTATGGATAACTCTTATGCAAACTTCGAAAGCAAGCTCTAAAAATTCTTCCAAGCCCAAAGCAAATATATAAAACCTGAGCCTAAACCCAAAGTCTTCTCCAGCCACCACAAGCTAACATCTGGAACAAGTTGCCTAAAGAGGTGGCAGGTGTCCCATTCCTGTAAACACTCAAGGCCAGGCTGGATGGGGCCATGAGTGACCTGATCTAGTTGAAGGTGTCCCTGCTCATCACAGGGAGGCTGGATTAGCTGCCTTTAAAGGTCCCTTCCAACATAAACTATTCTATGATCTTCACAAATGCTGGATGAAGTTCCTCTGTCCCTCCAGGTTAGAGCTGCCTGCCTGTGCTCCATTCCTCAGATTTGGCCCAAGCCCCTTTGCCATTCTTGTCCTTAGGCCAGGTAACTGGGCCAGTTTGGCTTGCCCAGACTGCACTGTCAGTGATGTGCGCTGAATTCACTGGCACATGCAGCAACAGCTGTTCTCATGAAGCAGCAAGGCTGTGCAGGAGAAGAGTACCAGGTACAAGTGAGACCTTCAGACACACTGTCATGCCCCAGAAGTAAGTGAGATTTGGCCATCTGAGTAATTTCAACCTTTTTTAAAACTGTTGTCCTCTGCTTCCAGCAGTAGCTTTTTCACTGTTGCTATTTTTCTTGAAGGATTCTCCTGAAAAGGTAACTACAGCACTGAGTAGGGTTCCTTTCTCCCCTTTCACTCACCCTGAGCACAAGCCTAACCATGTTAGAAGGTTAGGCCTAAGAAGGCTGCAGCTCAAATATTAAATGGTGCCAGATGCCTGGCTGGATGCCCTCCCAGCCTGGTCTGTAGGGGAAGAGACATCTGGATGTGGAGAGTTCTTTGTGTGATCTGGCTGATTCAAAGGCACAGACACTCTTTCCTGGCACCCTCATCTTTTTCTTCCTTCTCTTAAGGGACACACTAGGGCCTTGGTTCCTATGTCTTGGGTCCTATGTCTGAGACAGAGGGATAAATGTGTATTGATGCTTCCTATATTTAAGTGACATGTACTGCCTGGCTTTACTTGGCAGGCTGGCTGATACCGAGTTTCTCTATGGGGAAGAGTGGCCTTGGGAAGAGGAGAAACACCAGAGACAGCATTCGGTTTTGAGAAGAGTCAAGAGGTTTCTCAGTGTCCATGAGGGTCCTTCATACCCCACTCACCAGCGCTACAGCCGGCAGACGAGTGAGAATTCAGTGTTTTTCCCAGCAGATGAAAAAGGGCACATCAGACGGCTGCAGGAGATGCACACAAGAGGGAGGCACTCCACCTTAAGCTTCAAGAGGAAACATGAAGGAGTTAGCAGAAGTAACAGACTTCATGGTAGCCGAGAGCTAGGACCCATAACAGAAACCTCCAGGAACGAGGCACAGTTTGGTGACAGTGACACCTCATCTGACACAGCCACGCCAGTTCCTGAGGTCATCGTTTCTGAAGCCCAGGAGATTAAACCTGATGTGCTGGACGAACCAGAGCTCCCAACAGAGCGCTCTGCAAGCATGCCAGAAGAGAAGCTCCAAAGGATCATAGCTGAGGCAAATGTGGCTCTTCTGAACCAACACTTTTTCCCCCCAGAAATGACTCCATACCTCTCAAGTTCAGAGGTGCATCAGTCACTTCCTAGTGTGATAGGAGAGCCCAAACATGAGCCCCAGGTTAGTAACATAGCTGGTCTCATAACAGACCATGAGAGAAACCTTCAGCGATGGAGTTTACCAAGCTTCCATAGTCCTAGTACAGCATCAAATGCTGATGATGATCCACCTTCAACAGATTCTGGGACAACTTCACCACAAAGGACATTGAGTGATGGAAAAAATGGTACTTCTGCTTGTGCTCCACAAACATTTGAGATGCAGGACTTATGGGAAAACCTGGACAGTAAAGAAACAGCCATAGTAGAATTTTCTAATGAGGAGAGTGAAAGAAAACTTTGACCATTCTTCCTCTGGGTTTGACTGAACTTTTTGTCTTCTCTTGAATGTGGTTCTCACACAAATTTGCTGAAAGTGCAGAAGGGCAGACTCAGTACTCAGACAAGTTATGAACAAAATGCAGCAGAGGATTTGGGCACCTAAATAGGAGGCCTTGTGGTGACATATTTTAAGCCACTTAATCAATGGCTTGAAATCTGTGACCCTGTGGGAAATACATTTACAGAGAGTACTGGGAGCCTCAGGATGTATATGGCAGTGAGCTGTGCAGACATAACTAGAGGAAACACTAAGGTTTTCAGAAGAGTGGGTATGGTTCTGTCTACTTTGGATATACACTGAACTCTGCTGCCTTTGTCTGCTCCGTCAGCTTAAAGTTCGTGACATCCCAGTAAGATCCACCAACAGTTTTGGTTTCTACTCAGGTGGCTCAAAGGCAAGATGTGGGCTCAGTTCCTTTGTCAGCCTGGAGAGATTCAGCCCATCATCTCTCACTGCCTGGAGGAACACTTGAAAAATCAGGCCTCACATTTGTGTAGGACAGTATTCTGCCCCACGCCTGATGAAGCTACGCCACTAAAGGGTAGATAAAATAAAAGGATTAAATGTTTAATTTCATTTTAATTAATGGGAGGTGCAAAATAGCTGATGGGCATGGTGTGTCTGAGCCCTGGAGCACATATGTGGCATGGCCAGTGACAGTTTATTGTAAAATGAGGCTCCCAGGCAGCTTCCCTAGGGATGACAGGGCAGCAGCATTCTCTCAAGAGGTGATGGAGCTGAAGGTGCAACTAAGCCTAAGACTCCACTCTTGTGGCGCCCTTCAGCTGGAAGTGCACAGGCTGTAGTCATCCCAGGCAGACAACAAAGTGACCCATGACTCCTACTAAAACTGGTCTCCACTTCCGCAACCTTTCCCTCATTCCCATGCTAACCAGATGTACCACACACATTCTTAATTAACCCAAACCTAAGTCAGCATTAGGTGGCTCCTCCTGCTCCAGAGATGACCAAGCCACCTCTCCAAACCTGCTGATAGTGACCTGGTCTTTCAGCTATCACTCCTGCAAAAGAAGTCTCAAAGTAGGCCAGGAAAGCAGCCACAGCTCCAGTTTAGCTGTCAGCCATGTTTACAAAAGTGCAGTCTGGAGCATGCTGCCAACGTTCTCCCATCAGTGAGTAGAGGACAGACAAGGGAGAGACAACGTAGCTCAGGGACTGAAAGGACAAGAGAGAGGGGGGGACCAAAAGTTGTAAGTCTGCAACAACCAGCAAAAGCAGTATGGACTGCATGGACAGCAAGTCCACCAGCTCTCTTGCTCAGAAGGCTGCACTTCAAAAAACAAACCAGCCTCTCTGCCATAGTAACTGGTAACACCAGTGGCTCCTGGGAGACTTTAGGACTCCCTGGACCTGGGAAGGGAATGAACAGACCTGCCTGCTCCTGCTCCTACAGTCAACAGCTTAGGTGAGGAACCCTTCTAGCTGGTATCACTTACAGCAGGACCCTATCTCATCTGGGTAGGCTTTGAACAAAAATCAACTGCCCTCCGCACTTATACTTCTTCCAGCTTTATTTCAGCCTGGAAATTGGCTCCTGCTGCTGTTTGTTAGGCACAGTCTGAGCAGAACCATGCTCTCAAACCCTCCAAAGACACTAGACAGCAACACGTTTGTTTGTCCCGCCAGTTGAGGAAGCAGAGGACACCTGGCCCAAGGAAGCACTGTTTAAACTCATATTATGTGAATTCCAGTTATGCAGGAAAGCCATGCACAGATTTGCCAGGCACCTATGGAAGGACTTCACACCATGAGATGAGGTGACACTGGTGTCTCACAGCAGCTTATTGAAATTTGATCACAGTTTGGAGTCAGGCGTTCTGGTGCAACCTCACACTTGCCACTCCACAAGTCTTCAGGCAATTCAGGTTGCTATGTTTAGGTTTGACCAACAAAATGAGAAACTCTGTGGAGTGAAATTTTACAGCAATAAACAGCACCTTAGCCTAGCAGTCCAGTTTTCTGAATGGCCCTTATGCAGCTTGTGGAAGTATTCCCTTTTTCCTCCTGATTCCCTCTTTCTTGTAGCTGAAGCCACACTTTTCAATTGAATGTTTCTCAATCTAATTGCATCTGCAACTGTCAAGGAACTTAATTTACCAATGTGCTTAAATAATAATTAATGGGTAATTTTAAGTACAAATAATACATTTTAAGGACAGCCAGACAGCTCCAGTCACACAGCTAGAAACAAAGTAAAAGTAACTGCTGCTTTCCTCTATAGCACTTTTGTCAGAAGAGCAGTACAAGTTTCTGGGGAGTTTGGCCAGACATGTATAAGAAGGGTTTTCAGCAGCTGTGAAGGAAGCTGGCCCACAATCTAACTCTCTCCTCACAGTACATCAGCTTGAGGAGCTGTGCTTCACACTGTACGGGAGCTTCAGCCAGATATTAGAGACGACTCTCAAGTGTCCACCACAAATCTGCACTGAAAGTCCTGTCCCACCATACCTGCTCCCTCCAATCCTTCACACAGCTTCCACCAGGGCTTAAGGTATTGGACCAAAATGCTCTTTGTCCCCAACCCAGACATCAGCTTGTTTCATCCCAGCACTGCTAAGCGTGAAAAGCCTTCCCAGCTTCTCATCATCGAGCTCTGCTCATCTTCTTCTCAGCCTGGCTGCTGCCCAGGAGGCACACTGCTGCTTTCCACCAGAACATCATTGTACCTCTAATCAGCAATGATTTTGCTACCTCTCCCACTCGCTCTGCCAGCACTCCCCAGCCCTGCAACAGTGTTCATTATTTGATGGAGGCTGAGGGTGCCACACAGCAGCCATTAGGTAGGTAAGAGCTTAATTAGGAATTACAGCTCTGAAGTCATACACTGCAATCTATAACACAACCCAGTGGGGCAGCTCCAGGTCAGCTACAGCATTCTGTTTGTTGCTTCTAATGAAGCTAGCGCTGGGATGAGTTACCAGAAAAATTTCCTCTTGTCATTTAGCCTGTTATCTCACTTTGGCAAACATCAGCGTACTCTGATTTGTATTAAACTGTCTTTTGGGATTATGTGCTCTCTTACGCACTTCTCTCAGTAAGCTGTTTGCCTTAGCATGGTAAATGGAGTATTTTGGCAACCCAACAATCTGCAATCCATGTTCACAGGTATTAGCAATCCTGAATTATTGCATGAATAAAGGCACTTTGAGACACACTATCGTCCTGGTTTTACTGAACTCAAGAAGCAGTTCTGGCAAGAGTTAGACCTGACATGCAAATCAACTTGATGTCTACCAGGAACAGCAAGGCACAGAAGCTGGCAAAGTTGGACAAGGATAGCACAGGGCCAGGATAGATGAGTAGGTCAGGGCAACAGTTTGCTCCAATCAGATGGTGTTAATCTTGAGCAAGATCAGATATATCAGAACAAAGAGAGGACTAACCCCTGTGCATGCTGCCTGACTTTCCACCTGTTTCTAGGATGGGTTCCCACTCTGTGCTGGAATTCATAGAGCCAAGACGTCAGTGCTGGGAATGACTGGCTGTGGGGACATGTCCCAACACCCTGAAAATCTTCTGTTGTAAATAACAGATCTCTAACTCTGCAAACTCATATTTATGGAACACATACATACTGTATGTATAATGGAAATGTACCAGAGTGTTAAGTATGCTGCGTAGTAGAGAAAACAAAAATACCCTGCTGCTGTTAAATGGGGAATGGGGCTTTATAGATGTTTGTTTGTCTTGGCTCATGACCAAACAAATGACATTTTCTAGACAAATAAGTTAGCTCATGGTCAATCCACTGTTTAAGAGTGACATGGACAAAGGGGAATCAAGGCAAGATTGGCCTGAAATACAGGGGAACTTCACACAGCTCAGTCTCATCTGCAGAAAGAGACAGCTGGCAGCAGAGTCTCTTTTGCTGGAGGTTGATAGCCTGGATGCCAAATGTGTAACACAATGTGGCTGCAAATAGAGAGTCATGGAAACAGGCACCAGGGAGAAAGATTATTTCATATTGGAAGGCAAGATCAGTATTTAGAGATACCTGCAGGAAAACCATTCTGTTTTTGTAATACTTATTGAGTCTTATAACTGAAAACTTAAAATCTAGGGGCTGTGATTCCACCAAGGCCAACAACGGATATTGCCTTTGGTCTGTGCCAGGCACATCCAGACAGACAGACAGCAGCAGAAAGTGCCTGGGGGCCACCAACCTCTGTTCCAGGGGCCACCACGGGGCCAGTCTCTACCTGCCCATGGCTCTGCCCTGCTGGGAAGGTGCCCATGCCCATGGCTGGGACTGCAGACATTTGCAGGCTTTAGGAAGATACAAGCAGCCCCAACATGCCAAGACACTTTTTATCCTCCAGGACAGAGAGCAACCTGAATTTTCAATTATTTTTCCACCCTCGACTCCCCTTCCTCCCAGCACTGGAACCACTGTAAAGAAACAGAAAATGTAACTGAAACAGCACTAAGGTAAAGCAGATTTTGTTTGGTCAAGTTTTATTCATGTGTATGGGGTTTAGCAAACAAATAACTCAATGGGTAGAATTTAGGAGACTCTTTTGCCAAACCAGCACAGCTACCTGTGGCTGTTCCATCTGAAACTCCTGCCACTGGTGACAAGAAGTGGCTGAGCAAGGGGCAGTAGATGTGTAGTGCTGGTGAGCGGGTCCCATAACTCATCTGAGGGGGAGGAACACTGGTATCCCTTTGCACAGGCTGCACTCTGGGTTTCTAATGTGAATGGATGCTGCTCCAGCTGCTCACACTGCCCAGGGGGAGAGGAGTCAGGCACTAAATGCAGCATCTGACCTAAGGCACAGACATCAAATGCTGAGACCCAAAACAGGAGAATTATCAAGGTATTATGAATCCCAGGGAAAAAGCAGGTCTGAGAGGTGGCATGAGAAGCAGGAAACTGTGCAAGGAACAGTAGCTGAAATTAGTGGTGATGCCACACAGGCATCAGTCAAATTCCCTTTTATATAAGCTGGTTGGAGCAAGCTAATTTAAAGAGAATTTCCATGGCACTCAGGAAATAAAATTGAACAAAACCCAAACCATGGAAAATACTGATGGGAAAGGACAGCTGTAGGAAATGAGGTGGAAACTAGTGCACAAGAAGAAAAAAAAGATAGCCAGACCAGGCACGATTAGGATTAGTTTTCCCCACACACAGCTGCTGTCTTTTCAGCTTGGCACAGTTCAGCATTTTTATTCTTCCTGATCTTTTGCAAATCTGAGCGCTGACTGGCTCTGCTGCTTTATCCTGAGAGCTGTAGTGTCCATGAGTTACTCAGGAAAAATTGTTTCACTGATGTAAACATATAGATATTTAACCAAACTATATCGTCTGGGACAAGGATCACTGCAAAGTCCTTAAAACTTAGAGAGGAACAACACAATGTGCATTTAGGTCCAGAGTTGCAGTAAAAGCTCTTCTTCACACATGTGTTGAAAATCATTACATTAACTTAAGACAGAATAAATGCTATTACAGCTCAGTAGTAATCCTTTCTGTGAACAGCTTTTGCAAATCCCACTCTGTCATTCCCACGGTCAAAAACACAGTAAAATGCAGACATGAAGACATCTCCTAAAATCCAGAGCGAGCCCGTGCGAGTGGGGATGTCAAGAGACTGAAAGCCACTCATGCAGAAGGTTTGGTCATCAATAGACTCCTGGAAGGGAAAGCACATGTGCCTGCAGCAGCCTGCTCCATGCCCAGCTCAGGGAGTGAGGAGCAGGGAAGCTGCTGACACTCACCTTTATGATGTACTGCTCTGCTGCCAGCCTGTACTCGCGGTGTCCGATCGTGAAGCTAATGTGAGGCAAGCTCGACAGTCTTCTGCAGTCTACGAGAAACTGGAAACAATGCACTGACTGAGATGGGATTGCTCTGTCTTTCTTCAAGTACTGCTCTTGGATTCAAGGCTTTTGGAGTAGGTAATAGTGAATTTACTACAGAGAAACAGCATCAGGCTGGCTGACAGCCCAACAGTGCCCTCCAGCTTTCGTGTACTCGGTCAAACCAGCCCAGCAGCTCAGACCAGTGCATCCTAGGGACCCTGGGCTGATGAAAATCCTTGCAAGTCTCAAGAGAAATGAGGTGAAGGGGCTCTGATATCCTCCCTGTGCAACTCAAAGGCACAACTAAGCGTGTGAGCCCCAGCCAGCCTAAATCAGCAAGGTCTGCTGAGCAAAAGTTCTCCAATGCTCTGGCCTTGACAGGGCAGAGGGAGCTGCTCAAGCCACAGAGGGAGCACCCTGTGGGTGCAGTTCACCCCAGGTCCTCCCACATACCATCACTTTAGGGGGAAAATAGCTAGTGAGGAACATAGTACTTTGTGCTTACACTTTGCCCTGGAGTGGGATTTAAAGAGCAGAAGGACTAAACTCTGGCACGATCATTAATGTACCTAAATAACATATTCAGTTACAGTAACAGAGAACATAATGTCCTGGCCTTTCTAGTTATTTCGTGAAACAACTGTTGTGGGAAACGGAACTGTAGAATGCTCCAAGTCCAAGAGGAACCTTTGCTGTAAACTGTAGTTTTTAAGTCATTTTTTAGAGGCTTCCTAGAAGGAAAAACCTGCTTTTTGTTGTTTTTCAATCTATTTTATGAAAACATAACCGTACATCTTGTACACACTTACCAACTGTCATACCATTAGAACAATACAAATCATGGGACAAGGGTACAAAAAGCCAGTAAAATGATTTGTAGGATACAAGAAGCAAGACATAATTCTTTCACACAGCTATTACAGAATAGTACATCCAGAACAAATCAATCCTTGCTGAAAAGAGATAAAAGTTCTGGTAAAACCCAGGGTAGATACACTCACTTTTACTGGGATAAATTTGAGTCAATATGTGCAGTCTGTCTGTGATTGCTAAAAATCTGCCTCAGAAACTCCTATTTTCCGGGTGCTTTTTTGTGAAATCTGAGATACCAGATAAATGTCCTCAGGTCAGCACTGGTATATATATGAACCTGCACAGCAATGACCCATTCCTTGTTTGTGTTAGGCTAGGATAAGTACATTGGAAATACATATTTTATCTGTGTTCATTAGCATGAACCATTACAAAATCAACTTGTTATCAGAGCATACTCTTTGGCATGTATCTAAAAAGTTGAACAAAATCAAGATTAAAGGTTTGATTGAGAAAGAATCAGGAGCCTCAGGAGCTACACAGAGGTCACTGAAAGTCCTCCTCTTAAAAATGAAAGTGAGTTAAGAGTCCACTTTAGTCTGCCCTTTGTCCAGTGCACTGGGCACTTGCAATACTCTTTTCTTCCAAGAGTAGCTTTGGGTCAGGATCAAGACAAACTGAGATTAGCTCAGTTGGTTTGAACATGGTGCTAATAACATCAAGGCCATGGGTTGCATTCCTGTACAGGCCATTCCTGAGGGATGGACTTGATGATCCTTGTGGGTCTCTTCCAATTCAGAATATTCTGTGAAATGCAAAGTTAACAAAAGCCACACGGGGTTTGTTAACGAAGTTAACAAAAACTCAGTTTTGCTTGAGCACTGGAGCTGTGGCAATGTGCTGGTGACCTGTGGGAGTCTGTGGGAGTCAGCCAAGGGCCAGCAATAGGCATGGTAAAATAAACTGGGTGTAAAATAAACTGCTCTTTCCCTGAAGGCAGGACAGGAAGGAGTGGGGAGGAGTGTCAGCAAGGGAGATGCAGGAGGCAGCAGCAGGGAAGAAAGGAAAACCAGGAAAGGGTCAGTGGGGTAAAGTTCAGGAGGAAGAGTAAGAGCCAGCAAGCCTTGTCCTGTACCCTGCAAGGAGCCAGCACTGAGTGACACTGATGTGCAACCCTCCCAGGAGCTCTGGCATGACACCAACTGCTGACAGTGAGAGGCCCTGTCAGTGAAGCCACTGTGGGGCTGTCATTAAAGTACCATTCCTGACATGGCTGGCCATCAGCACCCAATCCCTCCTGGCTTGGGAGAGCCAACAGCTAGAGCTGGGGACCTCAAAAAGACTCCAAGCTTCCAAAAGAAAATTATCTCTCATGCAGAGTACAGATCCATTGCTCAGTTCCCATTATTTCCTTAAACACCAGTATAGAAGATAAAGTGAACATTTAGGAAAAGGACTGGGACAAGGCATAGAGGTCAAAAGCAGCTTGACTCAGAGCCCAGTGCTGTCCTGGAAACAAGGCCTTTGCTGGCACCTGTCCAAGCCATCATTTCTCTTATTTTTCAACCCTTTGCATCATGTACCAATTTCTCTTCCTCTCTAGCTGTTTTCTGCTGCACAGTTTTTACCTCTCCAGTATTTGATGGGCTTGCCCCAATATATGCCTGCAATCGCCTGATTTGTGAAGAGGGGCCAGTGATAAGAGAAGTGCCAGAGTCAACGATGGCCTCGCAGCCGTGGGAGCAAAGTGCCACCCGGCCCTGGATCTTTATACTGCAAATGAAAAAAGAAAAAAAAAGCAGCTTTAAGCAAATGGCATATACACTGTGACTGAAACACTGCATTATTGCTAGCTAAAGTATCAGAGTACTGACTGAAGTTAATCCCAGACAACAAGTGACAGGACAAGAGGAAATGGCCTCAAGTTGCACCACGGTAGATTTAGATTTGATATTAGGAAAAATTTCTTCACAGAAAGCATTGTGAAGTGTTGGAACTGGCTGCCTGGGAAGTGGTAGGGTCACCATCTTTGGAAGTGTTCAAAAGATGTGTGAATGTGGCTTTGGAGGACATGGTTTAGTGATGTACTTGGTAGTGGTGCTGGATAGACAGTTGTACTCAATTATCTTAAAGATCTTTTCCAATGATTCTGTGTTTTTATGATTAAAACTAGCTGCCAAGCTTTGCTAAAGACAAGGATGTCTGTGGACCCACTTTTCTCTCTTGAGACTCCTACAACTCTAACCATTTGCTTCCTGCTGATGAATTTGTCCTCACCCCCAGGTATGTGTTCTCATCAATTTAGGCAGAGTGCTAGAGGTGGGACAAAGGAACACTGGCTACTTTGACCAAAGTTAGCAGGACAGATGAAAGCAGGACCCAGAGCTGGATTCTATTCCTGGGCGCCTTAACCTCTTAACTGAACAGTCCACCAAGGCTCATCTTGACCACTGGTGTATCATATTAAAACATAACCAGCCACCCAGGTCACAGCAGATTTACAGAACTAACAAACCCCAATCTCATCCTGGGGAACCACTCTTTGAGGGGCTAGAACACTGCAGCTGAGCTCCCCTGCTCCTCTGCCACCAGGTGTTTCTGTCTCTGGGGCTTTAGCTAGGGAGGTGAATTTCACCAGGTTTTTTATACATCCATCCATCCATCCATCCATCCATCCATCCATACATACATACATACATACACACATACTTGTTCATGTGTATTTGCCAGTAGCTTTTCTCAGTGACTGGGACCCAGTGGATTGAACCTTTGTAGAGAGAATGGTCTATTCCCCCCAGAATCAATTCACCGCCGTTGTCAGTGTCGTCTCCTCTGAAAGCAGAAAACAGGTTAACACAGGCATGGGAGCATGCCAGTATGCACAATGAGATCACACTTAAAAAGCAGAAGTCAAATCACAGCCCTTTCTTAATTCAGATATGGATGGCTGAAAGGGATTACTACTAAATTATCACTGTATGTTTTCCAACACATACCCTCCCAACAATCTCTGAGAAGACTTAATGTGTACACCGAGGTAGGCATGGGGAGCAGGCTGAGCTAGATGCTACTCTCAGCTCAGAGGAAACACTAAAGAAATAGGTGGAGTTGCAGCTGGGTCCAGATTAGGGAACAGTATTTTTCTGAAGTGTGGCTATTTGCATGTAGCACAGCACTTCTGCTCATCTGCTTGGGCCAGAGGGAAACCTCTGGCAACTGACATGGTGAGTCTGAGCTGGGAACTTTTATTTATGACCTGCTCCAACAAAAATAAATCTCTGTCCAAAAAGTCATGGTCTTCTCCATAACATTTTTTTTTCTTTTCATGCTATAATCTTCAATGTCAAATTGAAAACAAAGAAACAACACAAAGAATCAAAAAAATGGGGGGAATGTTTTTCTAGGGTTGAAGCTTTATACAGATGCACAGTTGTTTCTATCAACAGTTAAAATAGATTTACTTCTTTTTTAGCAGTGTTATTTTAAAGACAGACCTTTTCAGATAGAAAGAGAAGACTGGCTCCTCTACCAGCTGCTGGTTCATGATGCTGTCAAACACAGGCAGAGCGTTGCCCACTGCTAAGGAGGGGTAGCCTAAGCCCAGAACACCATCAAAGTGAGCAAGGACAAAAGTTGTTCCTGGCTCGAACACTGACTCGCCAAAGTCCTGTCCCTTGATGGAGATGTTACTTATCTGTTTGGTAAAAAAAAAAAAAAAGAGACAACCACCATCAACCAAGCAAAGAACAACCAGAACTGAAAGTAATGACACCACCAATAACAAGAAATTAGCCATATTTCTGATCCATATCAATGCATTCATTCAGTTTACAAAACCTGGCTATCTTTGTGTGACTTGCATCAACATAGCACACGTCCATTTGGCAGGTAGGCAGCACTGATTCCTTAGAATGCCTTAATTATGTGGCTGCTTCTTCATTAGCCCAGAAGAGGATCCAAGAAGACAAGCAGAAATGAAAAATAAAATGTGATGCATTTGTGTTGGTAGCCCAAAGCTGAAGCAGAACCCACACCTCTCAGCTTGGTGGGACCTCACTCTGCCCTTGCCTAAACCAGGGAAGGTTTTCCAGGGCAAGGAAACTGAAGTGCCCTGCAGACAGCTGATGTGGAGGCTGACAGCCATTTTTGATGGACACTCACCTGCAGTGTGTCTTTGCCAGCAATGCCCAGAAGCTGTCCTGAGCCGTACTGCAGGGAGAAGGCTTCCCCTCCATGCTCGTATGAATCTGACTTGAAGGACTTAAATTTCTGGTGTACCCCTACACAAAAAAAAATGACACCTCCACACTGAAGAGAGGTCTGGGCAACCCACCCACTCCCCAATGCAGAACAAGATGAGATGTAGGAGAACGAGATTTTCGCTTCTCTCAAGAGAAAAGTGCTGAAGAAGTACTGCAGGCACCTCAGTTCTCCTGCAGACATACCAGTTTTTCCGTACCTGAGAGGTAATTTTGCATTTTAGAGAAAAATTAAAACAGAAATGGGCATTTCCACCTTTGTTGGCAGGTCTCCCAGGTCTATTTTTGCACCTTTGACCTCATGGTGGGCGCAGAGGGACTCTGGGCCCTTGCAGCCGGTGCCTGCCCTGGCTGCAGAGTGCCATGAAGGACAGAGCAGCAAACTGGGGAGAGGAGAGGATCTCTGAGGGATGCTCCAAACCCTCCCCTTGCAGATCCCTGCTGCAGGCAAGCATTTGGGAAAGGAGAACGGGGCAAGGTCTCTGCAGCCAAGCCAAGAGAGGGGCCAGGGAGAGCACCATTTCTTACGGCAGGCCTCGCTGATGCAGTAGGCAGACGGGACCCAGAAGTTGGAGGAGCCGGTGTCGAAGACGACGGTGAAGCTCTGTGGCGGTGTCCCCACGCTCACCACCCCGTAGTACTGAGCCTGCGGGAGGAATGAGGCCCTCAGCCCCCGCAGCCTCCCGCCGGCTGCTCTGGGGAAGAGCCGGGATCGGGAGCATCCCACAGCGCTCCCTCAGGGCCTTCTGTGCAATTCCATTTAAACGGGAAGGCAGCCACACGGAGCGTGTCTGGAGCGAGACGGAGTCATTCTCCTCTTAGCCCTCACAGCAACCGCCTTCATAGGATATGTCCTACCATGAGGCCAAATGTCGTTCTGAGGAGCTACAGTAATCACAAACCTATTCTCAGCAATCCCCTACATTGGACTAACACTAGTCGAATGAGCCTGAGGTGGATTCTCTGTTGATAACCCCACACTAACTCGATTCTTTGCCCTTCGCTTCCTCCTCCCATTCGTCATCGTAGGCCTCACACTCATCCATCTCACCTTCCTTCACGAAACAGGATCAAACAAGCACTAGGCATCCCCTCAGACTGCGACAAAATCCTGGCAGATCCTAGGGGGTCAAATCAGCATTCGTATGGGGATAGTTTTTCTGAGTCGGGTGTTATTTGGGCGAGTCAAAAGTTTAGTGCAGTTAAGAGGATGCTTAGGGTTAGTGATAGGGCCAGTATGAATAGGATTATGTTTATTACTCTTCTCTGGGTTTAAAGCAGATTCTAAGGACTGGAAGTCCATCATAATTAGTGTACCAGAAGAGTAAGATCCTCATCAGTAGACAGAAATATAGAGGAATAATCATACGACATCTACAAAGTGGCTTTGAGCAGCAGGTTTTACTGCAGCTGAATGAACGTGTGGCATTTGTAAAGCCTTTTAAGCAAATATTCAGCTGGGTTCCCTATGGAGTCAGCAAACCCTCTTGCACTGGCTTCAGAGGTGGCAAGGTCACTCTCAAGATGAAACTCTCACATGACCACACAGACTTCCAGGCTGTTCCTTACTGATGTCAATAAGAAAACAGTGTGGCAAAGTCAGGACGGCCTGCCTCTGCCAGCTTCAGAGGGCTCTGACCAGGGGCACAAACACTGTCTTATGTGGCTGCCCTTTTTCCTCGTAATTAGCAACTATTGTAGCAAGTCAAAAACTATTGTGCTGCACAAACTGTGCCTGATGTACTGGACAAAGTTCAGCCAGCAGATGAAGAAACTACTGACCATCCCTGGATACCAATGGAGACTGAAATAATCTGTGAACACGTGAATGCTGGAGTGAAGTGCTTATCCACATCCCGAATACAAGTGTCTGAGTGCTCCTATCTGGCCCTGGAAGAGCACTTCAGCATTAAGAGACCTATTTTTAGGAAGAGGTATTTCTGGAATTCAACCACAGATAGAAAAGCAATAGCTAGTGCCAAACTTTTTTCAGTAATACAAGTATTTGAATATGTACCTTCAAGTGCACAGTTGTTAATTAATAAACTGATGTTTCTGACCCCAGAATAAGCAGTCTGAATGACACAATCTTGAAAGGGCAAGCAAGCATGCCATTTAAGAGAATATCCAACTATACAGTAAGATTCTATTTCTTCCTGCATTAAACAAACCTAAGTGATGTTCATCAAAAAAAAAAAAACCCAAAACCAAAACACATACAACCAGAAACCCCACATACACACTGCAATAAAACCTTTCCTGGTGCCATCTGAATATGCTGGGGAAGTGGGTTTTGCTTTGTTGTTTTGAGATTTTCATTTATCCCTCTTTGAAATAAGCTTTAGAGCAGGTTGAAGTGTTTCAGTGTCCTTTGTTCTTCTTCACATACTTATTTCTTTATTCTTTATGGCCCTCAAGTGTCAGTAAGTTCTTGCTGAATGAATTTGTCCTTCCCTTCGATTCCATTCCCTGTTCAGGTGAAGACTTCACAACATTTCTGCAGCTTAGTTTCCCTTCAGATAAGCATAGCAGAAAAACCAAATAAAACAGAAAACAGAGACCATCCAAATGGACAAAATTCTAAAACCAGGAAAGACAGCTTACAAAATGGTAGACCTGCTGACTTGCTTGTCTGAGATCCAGAGAAATTAATATTTTTTCCTTTTTCAGTTTAGATGGTAAATCCTCCAAGGTCATTCTCCAATACTTAATACATATTAAACTCCAGAGATAAAAGCAGAAAAATAAAAAACTCTACTTAAGTCTTTATCATCACTGATTTTTGATTCCACCTGATCAAATTAATGAGATTTGGGGGATTTTTTTTATAAAACAGCAGCATCCAAGAGTCTGGTAAATAGAACATGACTAAATGAAGCAATCAGATTCTGCTGTGAAAAACCCTGCAGTTTGCCAAGACTGATACAGGCAAACCTCCCATATTTCTTTGGGGACCCAACCAAGTCCACTACAGATCTGTACAAAAGTAAAACTTGTCACAGGACTACCACTGCTACTCTACATCTGCTTTCTACTCAGGTCTCATGCTATCCTAGATCTAGACATGCTTTATTTTACAGATTGCAACCTGGTTTTTTATGATCTAACATTTATAGCATAAAGCAACAAGACACCACAAGCTCTATAATTTCATTGACAGACTAGATTTGAAATGTGCTGGGAAAAGAACCCTGCCTCCAGTAGAATGATGAGTCCGAATGATTGCATTACCAAAACTGTACTTACATTCATGTAATCATACAGCCTTTCTGAAGCAGTTCCTACTGATAAAGCAATATCTGCAGGGAAACAATGCAGGTACCTCCGGGCAAAAACATCAGGGTGGTGATTCCTCCAAAATTCCTCTAATTCTCCCTTTTCCTTCAGCTGTTTCTTGATAGATTTGAATCGAATCAAAGGGATTCTATGCAAATAAAATAAACACACAAAAAAAAACCTGATTGTCCTTTCTAGAACTGTCATATACTCCATCTATTTTAAAAAAAGGTTCCTTTTTGGAGACCTCAAGTAGCAACAAGCACAGGTCACCCATGAAGCCAGCTGAGATGTGTGCCAGTGAAGGCAGAGGAGTTTTCTTACCGTTCCACAGCCACAATGAGCGGGATGTAAACCACTGCCAACAGTATTGCCCTCATGGCTCCAAGAGGTTCAGAGTCTAATGACACTCCTTTGCTCACAAGTCCCTTTTTTATGGCCTGCTGTCAGCTGAGGGCTGCTCGCCAGGTCAATCAATCACAGGAGGTCAGTGCTTTGGCAGAAAACTGATTCATTTACCCTCAGACTGGTTTGTGCAAATAGTGATGTCCAGTGGAGCTACTCAGATAACCAGGGCACAGTCTAGACCAAACAGACGTTTAACCAACAATCCTTAATGTCTTTTACATAAATATCATTCATGGGTTGACCGTGGCTCCTGCTAGAATGAGAAAGAGGAAGCTGTCCAAGCACTTGCTGCTTTTCAAGCTTGCTTTAGTGAGATGTTGCTCAGAAGTGCTCAATGCAGAGAAAGAGGACATAATATACTATACATCCATTTCCCTTTTGCAGGAGACATTTCAGCAGGGCTGAGAAGACATTTGGTGGGCTTGTGACAAGGCACCTCCTAACAGCTGAAGTTTAATTCCCTATCTGTGAGAGACTTCCAGTCTAAACATAAATGTGACTACCATGGCATAAAATGGATCTTGAAAGTAAAAAACACAACAGTACAATACTGCAACATACGGCAAAAACTAGCAATAATTTTGCACACATTTCAGCAGGACATTTGGAAGAGCTCTCTTGGATTTATTTTCAGGCAAGTTTCCTGGGGTTAGTGGCTCCCACCCCTGCAGGTGGGTTCAAGTCTAGCCTGCAGAGAAATAATGGTATCAAAAAGAGGCTGATTTGGAAGAGCACAACCCCCAGCCTGTCAGCTGCCCATGAGGAAGCAGAGCACTGAGTCTGCAGTTTTCTTGCAAGACTTCTTGAATCTTTCCTCTGCAGAAGAAAGAGCAGTAAGCAACCACATACTGCAGCCTAGCATATACTAAAGCTAACTTTGAATAATCAGCCATTTTTGTTCAAAAGGCTATGGTAGGATGCTGGGAAAAGAGCAACCACTTTTTTTTCTTTGCAACACACCACGTATATAAAATAAACTGCTGACTATGCAAAGGTGAACTGGAACTAAGGAATTTTCCCCGAAAGAGAGCAGATGTGCCACAGCACAGCAAGGAGTGAATGTCCAAGGACACAGAGGAGGCAGGAGTTGTCATCTTCTGCTCCAGCAGCAATGTCAAGAAAAAATAGCAGAAAAACCCAATCACACAGCATTTGTGAGCCAAGAAGGGGTCTAAATGCCCATCACAGACTTCAAATAAATACAAAGCAAACAAAAATTGCTCCTTTAAGTCAGTTCCCTTGCTATGTCAGACTGAGTATGGGGTATGAGAGCCTTAAAATCAATAAGTTTAGAGCTCTATTTATTAGTTGCCCCAGATTTTGAAATACAGTTTGCTTTTTCCAACGTACATCCAAAATTGTAAGGACTAAAAAAACACAGCAAAGTCTGAGCCTGGTGTCATCACGCAGCAGCAGGCAGAGCTTTGGAACTGAAAAAGCACCAGCATGTCTATTATAATATCTTGTTTCAAAAAATAATAGAATCTCAAAAATGTATATTTTCTGTTGATTTCTATTTTATTCTAATTTTTTTCAATTATATATCTCTGAGTAATATTCCCCACTTCTCCTGAACTCAGAGGTTTTACACAAGTTATCAGCAAATGATCACATTTTCTGCCTCACAGTCACCCCAGCCACTGAGTTGCAAGAGCTAGGTGCTGGAAATGGGAATAGTGAGCAAAGATTTGTGAAATCTAGAAAGAAAAGGCATTTCTCAAGGAGCCCCCACCTGTCACTTGATGCACAGCAGAGCAGATGTCATGCCCTTGGGTAGGGCAGTGCTGCTTTGACAAGAGCAAGACAAAGTCTGTGCCGAGTGCCTTTATCACTTGAACTTTTCCTCAAATGCTACAAATGCTTCTGGGAAGTCGATAATGTTCCTGTTGGAGGGCACCATGGTGACTTTGAAGACATGAAGCTTTCAAAACACCGCCTGGGTCTACTGTGAGGACTGGCTTTGCCTTAGTGCCTCCACTGAGTGGCTGATTCTCAGAAAGAACACGATTGTTCATTTTACTGCAAGTGTAGTCCTTTATTAATCCACACACAGAGGTTATTCTTTCCCAAATTCTCTGATCTCACTCTATGTTCCAAGCAGACATTAATTTAGCTAACAGAGGTACAAAATGCAGCAACAAAAGGTCATTGTGACCTTTTTTGATAAGCTGGAATAATGATTAAACTACAGTGCAGAGGATCCCTAAGAAATAGTTATCTGCAGCTTAAAAGTTCCATTAAGGAGAAATAATTCAAGTAGAAAAAAAATCCATATCCATATTTGCAGACTTAGTACTTTGCTAAGTTATTTGTCTACATATGGATTATTAAGAAAAATATGCCTAAACTATACCATTAATATATTCTTAGCTATGCTCTTGTGTTGTTATGATTAGTAGGTTATCTGAAAAAATCTGTCTAAAAGACAAGGCTTTGCTGTGGATGTCTATTCATTATTAATTATGCCAAATGCATTTGGTTTTCCACAGTTTTATTCTATAGTGCCTTAAGGGGAGGGACGCTTGCCTTCAAAAGGTGCCATGGCTGTTTAGAAATGAAAACAAATACAACAGTCTGCTGACACACAGTGGTCCTCTGACAGGCCACAGAGCATCAAAGCAGTAAAGAAGTGTCTAAAAGGAGATTCTGATGCAGTGCAAACTGGCTTCTTGCTTCTGGGATGCCATGCACAGCACATCCCGCCATCAGAGAGGGAACTTTCAGGCCCTCTATTCTACAGTACCACCACACATGACTGTGCCATCATCTTTGTTCTCCAGGCTTGATGCCCTGCCCAGCTTCTCCATCTAAAACTGATTTTATGGCACTCAGGTCTCAGAACTGACTGCTCTCTGTCCTGTTGCAGTACTGTTCCTCAGGTGCCCTCTCTATTGTTCTCCTCCATGCATTTCATAGCATCACTGCTGCATAGCACAGCCACTCATCTTGTGGGGAAAAGGCTCATAAACATCCTAAAGCCTATGCCCAATTGATAGCTAAGAGCTGCTTTACATTTGAAAGCAAGTGATAGTAGAGAGCTCTATATAACTAGATTTGACCAGAAATCCAGAGGCCACCTTAAGTGATGCCTGTTCCTCAATTTTTTGTTTGCTCTGCTTTTCGTTTTTCAAGAGTGTGTGGCTCAGCAGCCACAGATTTTGGTAGTATAGCACCTAATACCACAAAACCAATTGCAGATTGTTCAAAGAAAGTATACTCCCTAAATTATGGTAAGTGTGGGAAATTACAGCAATGAGCTGTAGATATCAAAGCAAAGAGCCAAGTGGTGAAAAGGCTATTTTACCTTAAAACACTCTGCCAGCTTTCACATCCAAAGTTCATGGCAGAGCTATGGCCAACACACGGGCAGAACAACCACAGAATGGGTTGGGTTGGAAGGAATCTTAAAGATCATGTAGTTCTAACCTCCCTGACATGGGCAGGGACAAATGAGTACCCAGGAAAGCCTGAAATAGCAGAAGCTCAACATTTCAAACTAGGCAGAGGTTCCTATACATGGGTATGCTCCCAGAAATTAGAACTGAACAGCAAAATGGATGATGATGCGACTAGAACAGTTTACACTGTCACATCTAAATAGCCATAACTTTTCAAAATCACACTTATTTCACTAATAACAAATGAGAATCTTGATGGAATCCATGGGAGTTTCTTGACAGGTTTTGGTACAGACACAGGAACTGCAGTAGCACAGTTGGAAAGCAGAGGGAGAATAACCTTGGCAATTTGTGATAGCATATTACATTGAGATTCAGACAAGGAGTAAAACAATGTAATGAAAAAGGCCCTACAGACAAGAAGTAAAATGTAATGAAAAAGGCCCTACACAATCAAGAGTGCCAGAGGCTATAATAAATACCATTAAATTAGGAACATAAACAGTAGAACCGCTCAAGATAGCAGTTTGCCAAGTATTTGTGTTAAAGCTTTAAGATAAGTACTGGGGTGGCAAATTACACTCTGAAATCCATGTACTTGGTGCCTTTCAAAATACATCCCTGAAAATGCCACTCATCTTGAAAGTCAGTCAAGTCTTGACAGGTATTTTAAACAACAATTTGATTATATCCGACATCTCTGCTGAAAGTTTCATGAAAGTTAAATATCTAAGCTTAAAACTTCAATCTGCTGTGGTGACTTCAATTTGCTTTCCCAAGCCATCCTTGCTGCCTGCATTGGCTACACAGACAGCACAGCTGCAGCAAGAAGCAAGGGACCAGGTGTGACCCTAATTTTGTCTGGGGCAAAATCAGAGAACATTTACAGTGTGCAAGAGGAGGAAAGAAGGAATGCTTTCAGGGGGAAGGCGAGCATGTGGGAGTGTGGGTGAGAGAGGGAGACCTGGGCCCTGAGTCGTCCTGCCTATAATCCCCGTCACCAAACACTCATTCAGTTATCAGAAGCATTTCAGAGCCCTTGAGATTAATGGCTGGTGCCATGTAAACAGAGCCTTATATTGAGAAGAACGAGTTACCAACAAGCCAGTGTGGAGCAGGAGACCGAGGCAGCCTCCTGTCCCTCGCAGTCCCAGCCATCCCAAGATGGGCAACAGTTTGAAAGCCATACTTGCTTTTGTGCCCTCTAACAAGTGCCAGAAGTACCTCCTAGAAGACTTAGAAGAGATGCCAGTGGATAAAATGGTCGATCTGAGTGGCAGGCAGATGAGACGGCTGCCTGTGCACATCTGCTCTTTTAGGGAATTGGTTAAGCTGTACCTGAGTGACAACAACCTGAACCATCTGCCCCCCGAGCTGGAGCAGCTGCAAAACCTGCAGATCTTGGCACTGGACTTCAACAACTTCAAAGCACTGCCCCTAGTTGTGTGCACGCTGAAGCAGCTGTGCATCCTCTACCTGGGCAACAACAAGCTGTGCAGCCTGCCCCTGGAGCTCCGACTCCTGCAGAACCTGAAGACGCTGTGGATCGAGTCCAACTGCCTGCAGTACCTGCCCGAGGTGGTGTGCGAGCTCAGCCTGCTCAAGACGCTGCACGCGGGCTCTAACGCCCTGCGCGGGCTCCCTCGGCAGCTGCAGGGCCTGCAGGAGCTGCGCACCATCTGGCTCTCAGGGAACCTGCTCTCCGAGTTCCCGCCCGTGCTCCTGGACATGCCCTTCCTCGAGGTCATCGACGTGGATCGCAATTCCATCCGCTTCTTCCCCAGCCTTGCTCACCTGCCCGGCCTGAAGCTGGTGATCTACGACCACAACCCCTGCAGGAACGCGCCCAAGGTGGCCAAAGGGGTGCGCAGGGTGGGCCGATGGTCAGAGGAGAGCCCCGAGCCCCGCAAGCGATCGGGGGCGGTGATAGATATCACGCTGGACGAGAAGCCATTGCTACCTCCTGCCGCCAAGGCCGAGCCAGACGCCGAGCCCTGCTGACGCTCAGCTGCCCCTTCTGGCCAAGGTGGCAGTGCACTCCTGCTGCCCAAACTCTACCTCTCCCTTGCCTGCTGGTGTCCAGGGAGCACCACACCGCACGGCAATCTTAGGAGTACGTGCGCCAGCTTGGAGATAATGCGACAGCACAACTCTTGAACAGACACCTCTCTGTGCAGCACCAGCACCCTCCCTAGAACAGACTCCTTCTGTCTCCCATGCTGAGAGCACACAGTTCACAACAGAGATAAGACTTAGTTTAGATGTTTGGCATGGGTGGATTGCATAGAGCACATATGGACTTGCTGCTCCTCACCCATGGGCTCACTCTTCTCCCTTCCACCTTCTTGAGGTGTCCCAGTTCAGCTGAAACCCACTGCTCAATGTGATCCCCACAGCTCTAAAGCAGCATTGGTCTCAAATTACTTTGTCTGAAACACAGCAATACCTTGAAGGCTTCCCTGTCTGCGGAGTGGGAAGTGGTAGCAGGGTCCTGGCTGCACTATCAAGAAAACAGCACATACCTACAGGGGGCTCTCCTCTTTCTTCCTGCAAAATTTGTGACAACTGTTTCATCACTGCTGAGCACTATTCAAATGATGGTGAGGAAAGCTGTAGGCTTTGGTGCTGGGTTTTGTTACTGACAGCACTGCCTCTAAGGACAGCTGTAAAGGAAAAGTTTTCATGCAGGAGCAAAGAAGAAAATCAAAGCCTGACTAAAAAGGAAAAGCCACAGGAGCTGCAAAGGTAAAGTTGCATGAATAAAATCCAGGCCTGTGAGCTGTCACTATAAGCTTGCACATAATCTGACGAGACAAACTACTCAGATGATTTCAGCTGGGTATTTCTCAAGCTTGCAACTTGGAGCAGTTCAGATCCCCTAAAAATGCACTTTTTTCCTGAGCTTTGCTTTAAGTGAGTAACAGAAATCTGGCTCAAAGTGACATTTTAAACTTTAGGCTCCATAGCATAGTTGAATTAGGTGACAGGTTTTTTAACAAGGATGGAAAGCCCTTGGTGGCACACTCTGAGTCTGTCTCACCAGCACAGCCCACAGAAGCAGCAGCTGACTTCCTAGAAAAGGTTTGATTCCATGCCAGTTCATGACTGTTTAATGTCATCTACATGCTTGAAAAATTATCTGGAAATACACAGACTCTGCTAGCACTTGTTGTAAAATGAAGTCCAAATTTGCATCTGGCTGGCACCCATGTAGTGTGCTATTGGTGAAATTAAATAAAAGTATACTAGCAGCCTGCCAAGTTACAAAGTCCTTCTTTGGAATTAACAGCAAATTCTTTATCTAGTCTTGTTCCAACAATTTCTTCCTACAAAAATGAAAGCAGGACATGAGTTAGGGGTGCTATTTTAATATCCGAAGTCAATATTTTATATCCCACAGAACTGAGCTGGTACTGTATTTATCTGAGGGGATGGGGAAGAGCATGCTTTCACTGGCTTATCAATGACCTGTGTTTCACTCAGCACTCACCACACAGCACTGTCACTTCTGGAGAGCTGAAGAGTCTCTGTCAAGAGTTAAGGGGAGGATTCTGTAAGCATCTCATTTTAAGAAATCTAAGGCAGAAAAACCTTTGCACGCATACTTGCTTACTTCAGCTTAATCTTTCTGCTTTGGCAGACTTGCCCTGCTGTTTGTACACTTGCAAGGGCCAGAAGGTCACAAGGTCTGTGGGCACCATTCTGGGCCCCCACACAGACAGGGCCCCTGCTTGTCTGTGCTCACACTCCTCACAGGTCTGCATGCAGACAGCTGCAGGCATCACAGGCTTCCTTCCAGCCTAGGCACAAAGAAACCTGCCCAGTCGAGAAACATGTTAACTTTGCAGTAACTAATTGAATAGGAAAGTGAATATGAAGACAGGATTCAACAGACATGAAAGGCATGGGGCAGAGGGCAGGAAGTGAAGGTTTAGGCCTATTTTCTCCTAAGTGTCCACAATTTTAAGTGTTTGTCAAGTCAGCCCAATACTTTACAGATCAACACTCAGACTGTTTAGTCCAGAATGTTGCTCTCTCTCCCAAACTGCATGTTCCTCTCAACTTCCCTGAGCAGAATGTAAAATTTGTGGTGTAAAAAGCTGTAAGATCACTTAGTTGTAGTTCTAGGCATTGACTGAGGTTCCTCGTCCACTCACTGTCTTCCATCATAAAGAGTAATACTCTGTATCACTGGAAAAAGATACCATCTAACTTCAGAGCCTGTTTCTAGGACCCCAACTCAAAACCTATGCAGCCAGGACTGGAACACACCACTCATACTAACACAGCAGGTCAGCAGGAACCAGCAAGTCACAAGGGCTCAGTCACTCCCCGAAGCAGCCGAGGCCTGAGGCTGTGCACCACAGCTCTCCCCATGCATCTGCCCTTCCTGGCTCTACACAAAGAAATACAACTTTGGGGAATCTGAATTTTTATTTTTATTTTTTTTATTACTGCGTATTTTAAGTGGAACCTGGAAGGAACAGAATGAATAAAGTTGTATAAAACCCCTGGTTTATACACCCTTGAAAGTGAATTCTTCCACACAACACACAAAAGCTCCAGTAAGTAAAAACCAACTGAAGACAGTGCCATTGATGGAGATCTGTTTGTCTCAAGCTTCTGTTCCATAACCTCACAAAAACTAACCATTAAAAAAATTACTAGGTGAGATCTGGTCCACACATCCTCAGGTACTGAAGAAAATTTAACAGGGGCGATGGTCTGGTACACGTTTTCTGGGGAGAAAAAGAAATATCAGAAAATTCCCACCACACTGATGCCCATCAGCCCCTCCTCACCTACTCTCATTTTTAATCTTTAGTTAGTGTTTTGTGTTCAGTGACAGCTTTATCTCACAGCACAAAAAACAGTGTCACCTCAAAGCTAACACACCACCCATGACTATGCTAAAAAAAAAATCTTTGGATTCAAAAAGCAGTGAAAACTACCTGGTAGCAGGCCCACAGAGGATAACCTGCCTATCTTCTCAAACCTTTTAAGAAACATGTTTCTGTTTTAGCTGCAGATTCTACCTCAAAAGCAGCTGGACATTTCACTATAATTCTTGCCAAAAGCAAAAAGAAAGCATGACCCCTTACATTTTGGTCAGCCACTTGTGCAGATGTTTAGTGGTGACCCAGGATTAACTAGGCATTACTCAGGCACAGCAATTTAAGTTTGCTGATGGCTCTAAAGGCCTGATGATACTGCTAATGCGGTAAAATTATCTAACATGAACACCAGCATGTCACACGTCAGGTTCCCTTTCAAGTAGCATTTTTAGACCAAGACTTTTCTGCACCCTTACTCTTCCACAGAAGGAGGTTTACTCTACACCACTGTGACTGACCATGCAGATACTCTGCTCATACCTTGGTGCTGCTTTAATGATGTCATCCACACGAAGAATCATTTCTGCTGCTTCAGCGGCACTCAGCAACACCTGTCTCTTGACCTGGAAACTTTCTGTTACTCCCAAAACTGACATGTCTCCAATGACACCCTCTTTCATATCTGGAAGAAGAAACACATAAAGAGGTGTTTTTTTGGTTTTTTTTTTAACTCAGCATTTTTTTAAGGAAATTACAAGAAGCTGAGAGCACAGTAACTTACCTGCTCAAATGAACTACACTGATAGTTAGGGAAGTATTAAATAAAGTCTTCTACCTCAAGGGTCCTGATTAAAGCCTGATGTTGCAACTACATATGAACACTTGATGATAATAAATTTATACACTGTGATGACGAGACAAGATCCTAATAGGACTCTCAGCACTATGTCCTTAGGTACATTAACTTCAGGGTTCTTCTCCACTACTCTGTGGTTGTTATTTGGTTGGGTTTTTTTGGGGGGTGGGGGAAGGGGCAAAAGGAAGGATGTTTGGTTCTTCTGGGTTTTTAACTGGTTGCTGGTTTTAAAACAATGTTTTTATTTTTAAGCTTCCTATAACTAGACTCAGTGTAAGGGAAGTGTTTTTCAGAGGTGAAAACCATGCATTTAAGAAATAAAGGTTTTCACTCTACTGTCAAAAGCCTGCTAGAACAAAAGGAGTATCGTGCTGTACACAAAGTTCTATGCAAAGCAAACAAACCAACATACTCAGCTCTCCCTGCTGAATATACGTGACAGACATACATGAACAACTTCAATGAGCCCAAAGGACCTGGCCAAACAGCAATTCAAACACAGAAGTAAAACTGATCCCCTTACCCAGTCCATAAGTAGTCTTCCCTTCACTATGAGCAGCTCTGAGCTGAGCAACCAAATCAGCACTATCATAGCCAGCATTATCAGCTATTATTGTTGGGATCTAAGGGGATAAACACAGGTTGATTTTCATTAACATAGGGACTGATTGTTAGCAAACATGAAACATACTTTGATGTTACCAGTTTACAACTGAATTTCAAGAAGATGCTTCAGAAACATGCCAGATGATCTGTTTACTGTGGTAAGTAAAAGACCCAAACTACCTTTCTAAGAATTTCAAGACTCTTAGAAATTGTAAGAAAGTACCTATGAGGACAGAAGCATGTTAGTAATTTGTATGCTCATTTTACATGGACAGAAGTAAAAAACCAATCTTGTCATTTTATCATTTCAGACTACAACTGGAGAAATGTTTTCATTTAAAAAGCACAAATCTGCTGGTAAGCATTAACTACCTGACCATTCTGTTCACTGTTTCCATGACAGCAGTGCAAACTCACATGCACTGACTGAAGAGGTAATGCCAAGTGTTACTATGCACTTAGAATTTAATTTTCTTGGGAGAAAGGTTTTTCCGAATTCAAATTGCAGAAAGTAGATTTTTTCTCAAACTGACAGTCTGTTATCACAATTCTATTAATGTGTCTTGTGACACACTTACTTCCTACTAAGAAGCAATCTCCAATGCAAGACCAGAAATTTGTAGCTAGTACTAGAGCATGAATACACTCAAACAGTACTAGAGCATCAATGGAACAGAAGGGTTGCACTTTTCTAAATCAGTTGTCAGCTACCTAAGATGAGATTTTTATGTGCTACTTCTGCAGCACTTTTAACCAGCAGGTAAAGTGAGCAAGAACCATTTAGAGGAGGGTTGGCACATGAACATTTACAAGCCTGTAACATGCAGAATTATTAAAACACCAGTACTTTTTTCCTAAGATAAGAAACCAATTTCCCCCTTTGTTTATCCAAGATGTGTTGCTAAACCTCACTTCTTTACTTTGGACAACCAAAATTTTTAAAGTGAAGCAAATATCTGATGTCACAAGTTAGTAAACTTCACGAAACTTTGTGTCTTAGCCCAGCAATATGATTAAATAAACCTACCATTCGCAAAGCCTTAGCAAAGGACTCCATTGCAACAGACTCTTTGCCAGGTGTTCTGACAGCAAGTTCTGCAACAGCGTTAGCCATCAGCATCTCTGAACACCCTATTCAGTGAAGACACACAGATGTTACACATCCAACCTTCAGTAATACCAAAGTATGAGAGGTACAAAGAGTCTGATATTCACCTCCACCATACACAGTTCTTGTGTCCTTCACAGTCTGGGCCAGGACACAGAGAGCATCATGCAGAGACCTCTCTGCTTCATCCAGAATCTGCTGGGTGGCTCCACGCAAAACAATGGTGCAAGCTTCACCTAGAAAGCACACGTGTAAAAGGATTAAAAAGAGAAACCAGGACACAAAACGGGCAATCACAAAGCATTTACAATAGTTTTGCTATCACTGGAGTCGAGTTCTGTATTACTTAATTTTGGGAACAAAAGAAAGCATGATGACATTTCAAAGACAGAATGAAATTATGTGCTATTGCTTTGGTTCCACAACACCTTATTTAATTTAACAGAAAATTAATATTGCCTCAAAACTCCTTAAAAATTAGAGCATTGGCATTTACTAGAACAAGCTCTTCAAGTATGACACATTGCTACTTTTCTTGTCAACTGAATTTTCAAAAGCAGAAACCTTGGTTCCCATCCTTAAAAATGATTTTATGTTCATTTATGTAACACAAAACGTCCACAGTTTCAACCATGAAACTGTGCAGGACTTTTACTGAAAAGCAAGGCTTTAGTAGAAACAGTTACATAAATCATTACAGAATTCCTATGCATTACTGGCAACTGAACAGCACTAGCAGAGGGTTAACACAAATGTTACAATACACCATTAGTGATAAAACACTTACCCATTGCTACTCCAGAGAAATGAATGAGTTTATCTTCTCCAATCATGACTTCTTCAATGAGCTTGCAGCTTCCTAGTTTTACTAGCTCAGGGTGATCAAAGGTGGAAGCAATTTCACCACCTGCAAGTGTAAAATCATAAAGAAATCAGAGCTCACAATGAAAGCATCCTTTCAGGCAAGGTCTAACCGGGGGGGGGGGGGTGGGGGGTGGAAAAAAAACAGTCTTCATAACTGCCCCCAAATAAATTTGAACTAAAATTACTGATAAGCCAAGACTGTCTCATGTCAGCATGTGGTACCAGAAAACGTCAACTGCTGATAAATCCTCAAAACACCAATGTTTTGTTTCACATCACAAGGACTAAAATGCTTGTGAGTTGTGTCTGCTAACAGAATAAACATTCATCTTTGCTAGCATTAAATATCAGTATGTTTCAAGTTTTCCCAGTATTTACTGATTAAGTATTTACAAAATACTAAATGAAGTCTCCTATGCTTTAAAACTAGAGCTTGTGACAGTATTCCTTTTGCCTGCCTGATGATGGCTGAGAACCACCATTCTCCTGCATGGCAAGTCTCATTCCATGCTGCAGCAGCAATACTGTGCAGGATCTGTAAACTGCTGCATCATAAACAAAACAAGCGCTACAATGACCAAAATGTCTCTGAACACAACTTCATTCTAGTTCTTGTCCCAGTTCTTTCCTCTTCCTATTAGAAAACTCTTTACATGTATGCATTCCCCATGTGTGCTCAATAATCCCACAGTAGCCTGCAGCACTGTGTAGTTGCAGCATCACAAGAAAAACCAAGACTTGGAGCAGAGTTTGTGTATATTGAAAACTTGTTCTTTTTTCAGTTATACTATTCTAGCCAGAGTGGTCTGATAAGACCCATTTTCTCTGCATACAAAGTCTGCTTTCAATTTGTTCCAGAATGTAAGCAGTGCTCCTCTCAATCACGCGTTTCCAGTGTCAATGTGCCTACTGACACTTATATGCAGTTGCTACTTCAGTTTTGCTAAGATAAGCAAGTCAGTGTCTTCTCCTTTCTCCTGCAAAGCAAATTAATCCTCCTGATCACTCTCAAAATCAACTATGATGTCCCAGTTAACTATCTATTACTTCAGCAATGAGAAT